ACCAGACGGATATCTGTCGCGTGTTCATAACTAGAATTTTCTACTTTATGAGCGCACATAGCAAAGTAAAGCTTTTTATCTGACTTCATTTAGAATATAACAAAAATTATAATAAGCTAATAAAATCTAATTTTAGCTTATACTTGAATAAACAATTCCAAATAATTATAGACTAACAAACAATGAATGTCTTAGAAGTGAAAAAATTTGATAACGAAAAGGGAGAATAAATTTTTGTGTGAACTGGACTTAAAAAGTTATATATAATAGAAAAATATTAGGTATATATATAACATCTCATATATTATTTGGGTTCTCTTATATCTCTTACGAATTTCAATAATAAATTTTAATAAATAGACTGTATCAAGAAATGTTTTCATAATTTTCAATGTAAACACTGAGAGAAAACTTCCTTATTTTCTATATCTGTTTTTGAATGATGCGAAAGTATTTGGAAATATTTGTACATTTTTAGTTCAGCAGTCGTAACTCGTAATATTATCGGAGTATATATATTCGAAATATATAAATTATATAATATATATAGTCTGCTCTAATACGTTCCGCATGGACCTGTCAGAGACTAATCAGTATGGCGACCGCTGTCGCGAAGTGTGAGATATTAGCTTTTATTTTCGCTTAATTTTGATTACTTTATTATATTCTGTCCGCGCTCAACATGTCAATCAGTCAACTAATCAGTCCATCACACTCTTATCTAGCTGTTGTCTTGTGTCATCTGTGGCGACCAATGTGTAAATTGTATTTTGCCTAGAAACATGACCTTTCAAAGATAGTTTATAGCTTTATTTTAAGCTATTACGTGTTTCGGTCTACTTCTCGATTCGATTCACTAACTTGGAGCTCTTTCTCTTTTCTTTTTTAAGATTGCAACTCTCAATCTCCCTACTATTGGTTTCTATTTCTGTCTCTTTTATTCTCTTTCATATATTTTCCTATACAGTTTTTTGTTTCACACAGACCTGTTCAAAAAGAAAAGCAGACTTATCAAGGCTATATATATGATATATGATTTCTTTCTTTATTGGATATCGTGTATATTTGCATGCAAATCTATATTGTCGCTATATTTATTTATTTTCTCACCTGGACGCACCTTGACGCAATTGTCTTTCTGATTTTTTGCAGTCGCATTTGGAACACAGAATCACGCACACAAACTCACACGCGCATCTACATACAGAGAGTGAACGAGCTGTTATTGCTTAGCCATAAGCAGATCGGACATGATGTTGAGATAACATTGACGCTTCTCTTGGCGACAATAAAACGCGGCCAGAATTATGCATTTGATTGCGGAATGCATTTTGTTTGATATTTATGACAGAAATCATACATAAACGACGCAATTTACAGAGTGTAAACAAAATTTGTTTATTTTCTTAAAAAAATACGATTCTAATATAAGATTTAATATATGTCAGTTTACTCGATTCGTTGCCAAAGTAATAATGCCGTGAACGACCGAGCGCAACAAGTAAACTGAATAAACTAAAAAGTAAACAGCAACAGGTCCCTCAGCATCCAAAGCAAAGCGCATGTGCAGTGCAGTGCAAACTTATTACAAGCAATATTATTATTATTAACTATATAAAAAGCAAGAGAAAAAAAAACAAACAATTATATTATACTTAAATTTTCTTTTAGTTTATTGTAGCATAACAAGCTATAATTTAAATGCTCCAGTCAAATAAGACTAACAAAATTTTCAAATGCTACAAACTTGGCGCCTTATCTCGATTGCACAGCGCTGCCAGATGTCTATGGCTACCAACTAGTTGGCAACAATAGCAACGAGGAAGTGGCAACGCTTTATAGGAGCGCACACTTTGCGTATTCAAATAAATTGAAATCACGTTCGCTTTGAATGGCAAATTTTTATTGTCATTTGTCGTTATTCGAAAATAAATATATTCAAAAAATAATCATAGCAATTGAATAATATAAAAAATGTCGAACAGTTTGAACTTCAATATGGAAAACGGTTATTTAGAAGGTTTAGTGCGTGGCTTTAAGAATAGTTTGCTAAATCAATCCGACTATCTAAATTTAACAGAATGCGAAACCTTGTCAGATCTTGTGCTCAATATACAAAACACAGATTATGGTCCACTGCATAATACCGAGGAGAAGTTGGATGTGGAATCGATTGAGAAGTGTCTGCGTGATCGTATTGTAATAGAATACAATTATATTCGAGAAAATTCTATGGAGCCCTTGAGCACATTTCTCGAATATATGCGATATGAGCATATGATCGATAATGTTGCATTGTTGATGACCGGCCTGATCAATCATCGCGATATAAAAAAGCTGATGCCCATGTGCCACCCATTAGGGCTCTTCGACCAATTGGAGGCCATCGAGGTGGCGAGTACCATAGAGGAGCTATACAATGTGATCCTGATCGATACTCCGCTGTCCAATTTCGTTGCCGAGAATTTGACTCGATCGGCAATACATAATACAGATGTGGAGATCCAGCGAAGCTTCCTTTTCAAAGCGTATATGGATGACTTTTACAGGTTCTGCAAGAAAGTGGGCGGCACCACGGCCGAAGTTATGTGTAAACTTTTAAGTTTCCAAGCGGATCGCCGCATCATCGCAATCACAGTGAATTCTCTACAAATTAATATGGAGTCCAAGCTACGCCTTAAATTATATCCTCAATGTGGCACACTGTGCTCGGTGACTAGAAGCGCTCTGGCCATCTGCACGGAGGAAGATCAAGTGCACACAATTCTCAACCATAACATGAGCTATGCCAACGTCCTGTCCAGCATTGAGAGGGACACGGATAATTTGATCACTCTCGAGGATCGTCTCCTAACTTTGGAGGCCAAGATGCACGTGGACTCGTTTCTGCACCAGTTCCATTATGGAATCTTCTACTCCTATCTCAAACTAAAGGAGCTCGAGTGCCGCAATATCGTCTGGATTGCTGAATGCATTGCACAGCGACAGATTGATAAGATTAATGCCTATATACCCATTCCGATTCACTGATCAAACCATTTGTATTTGATTATTCATATTTTAAAACAATGTTAAATAAATTAATTTTCTGTTTGTTGATGTTTACAATAATTATAAACCATATTTAAATAATTTTTTACGATAATTTAAAGTGATTCATTTAATAAAATAGTTAAAAATCGATAACTATTAATAATACTTAATTTTAACATTTATTTACCTTAATTATGTATATATAATTTTAAAACTAAAAATTTTTATAAATATTGTAGCT